CCTCTGATGCTGCCTGGCCTGCTGCGTTCACCCAGCCCTACACCTTGTTATCTCAGACTCCAGCATCAGCAGTTCCTAATATCTGAGCCAGAGGCCTAGGTTCAAGCTCTACTTGCTCCGAAGTTGTGTAACAACTTCTGAACAAGGTGATTAGCAATTATCGACGAGAAGAATGTATTTGGAGTGGGGAATGCCAATCTACTTCATCAGGCCCGTCACTTGTGTAATCATGAACAAAGTGATGCAACAATGTTGCAGGCATTGAGAACTAACACAAGGTAATAAACTTACTTGACTTCATCATGCTAATCGATTATCATAGATGCATTGGTAAGAGAGAGTTCACTTTACTGTCCTCGTGGAGATCAACTCCAATTTAATGTTTCAACAAAGATCTGTAGCTCAGGTTGTGGTTGGAGTTGTTGGTTGGTTTGCCGAGCTGACTGGTTTTCATGCAAATGATTCATCTCCCCTCTTGGTGACATTGTCAGTGCTGTGTAGTCTCCATTGAGGCACTGTTGTTCTGTCCCGCTCTGAGTTTGTATGGTCCGGTCTGTCATGGTGGGCAGTCTAGTTTCCGGTTTTGTACAAACACGTTGAAATAAACCCCATCGACATACCACTACAGTCCAATCTTCACACTGAAAATACCTCTCCATCATGTCACGTGGTTGTACCACCATAAAGATAGATTAAGAGCCTGGAACTCCTTACTTGATAGCACTGTGGGAAGGCCTTCGTATGGAATGCAGCAATTCAAGAAGGCCTGCCTCCATTTCAAGTAGGGGAACATCCAAGTAATAGTGACCATAATGTAATGCACTTTAAGATAACGATAGGAAAGACATGAAGGATGAGAAACAGATTGGGAAAATGCTGATTTTAGTTCGATTCTCAGGCACTCAAAGAATAAAGTGGACAACAATATTGGCAAATAACAATGTGGCGCAACAATAATCATAGGGAACATTTTAAAAGATTCAGATTACAGAAAAATTATATTCCTCCAAAAAGAATGCACAAGCTCAACTCTAATGGGTCTCCATGGATAAATAAAGACAAAAGGAAACAATTAAAAGTTAAGGAAAGACCATACAGGTTACGTTCAGAGAGAACAGCTGGATTTGTACAGTCCTACATGCACTGACTGGCAAGCTGAGGGAGAGGCAATATAAAATTACCATTCCAATAGTACCCAACCATCCTCACTGCTTGATTTTTATCAGTGAAAATGAGTGACTTGATTGAGGACCTTAAGTGGCCAATTAGCAGCAGGACAAATCCCCATATGGTGACCAAGTGAGGCTCCGTGTCAGACTGGGACGTACCTCCTTGATAGGAACTCTGGGGCCGATCAGAGGCCCCTCAAGGTTTGACCCCTCCATTGTATCCTCTTCTGCCTTCAACCACCATAGATTCTACCTCCTAACTCAGAGTTACCAGCCTGGCCCTAGCAAGCCCCACACTAATCTTACATTCTGGCTCCAATGCCTTTCCATTGACCTTACCTGTATCCGGTCAGTGGTCCACAAGGTTTACACTGATTTGCTAGCAACTTTTTAAAATTTGTATCCAAAAGTGCTTACAGATAACTGAATGTGTTTCTTTCTGCATCAGCGGTGCTTTTTTTCATCTACTAACCACTACTAGTGAATCTCTCGTGTTCTCCAATTTACATGCAAAGCCCTTGAAGGGGAAGTCTCACCTTAAGTCAATTAAAGAGCTGCCAAATGTTCAATGGTTATGGGATGAGCTAGAAAAATATTGGCAGGCAGCGAAATCAGCATCAACCCCCAACCCACCATAAAATTCAACTCAAGGTTTAATTATTTCTTCAGCACAAAATGCAAATCCAACAATATAAACTACGTCACCAAAAAATCCAATAGGGAATTCAGAAGAAATTCTTTACCCAACATTGTGCAAATATTGTACAACAGGGAATGCTTCAAATAAACAGTAAAGATACATTTAATGGGAACCTATACAGGTACGTGAACAAAAAAAGGGCTTATATATGCCATTGACAAACTTTTCAGGCCTCTCTGAACACAGGATTAGTCCTGGGGATTAGAGGACTGCAAATGTGACGCCATGGTTTAAGATAGGGACACAGGATAACCAAAAAAAGCTATAGACCTGTCAGCTTGACATCAACAGTGGGGGGAAAAAAAAACAATAGCAGTCACAACAGGAAATAAGCTAGACTGGCTTTGTCAAGGTAGGTCATGTTGAACAAATTTCATTGAGTTCTTTGATGAGGTGACACAGATGAGGGTAGTACTGTACATTTAGACTCTCAAAGTATTTGATATGGTGCCACATGGCATGTTCATTATCAATTTAGAAATGTTCTGGATTGATGGGTTCTTGCCAGTATGGATTAGAAGTTGGCTAAAAGATAGGAACCAGAAAGTGGATATAGATCCACTTCTCAGACAGGAGAAAAGTTGAAAGTGGTGTTTCCCAGAGTTTGGTTTTGGGACTCTTACTTTTTCTGATTTAGATAAACGATTTGTAGATGGGTGTTGAGGTCAAAATCTTTAAATTTTCAGATGATACTAAACTATGGAGAATACTAATGAATTGGGAGGATGACAGAGTGACTTCAGGGGGATATTGACAAGTTGGCCAAATGGGCAGATACCTGGCAGATGAATTTCAATGTGCAGAAATGACAGGCAATGCATTTTGGTAGAAGAAACATGGAGAGACAATACAGGATCAATAGTACAATTTTGAGGGGACAACAGGAGCAGAGGGGCCCCTGGGTTCAAATGCATAATTCTCTGAAGGTGGTCAGACAAAGTGAAACAGTTATCAAGAAGACTCTGGATCCTTGGGTTTATAAATAGAAGCGTAGAGTATAAAAGAAAAAGGAGGTGATGCTACACCTCTACAAAACATTGGCCAGATCACATTTGGAGTAGTGTGTTCAGTTCTGGGCACCATAATTAAGGAAGGATGTTAAAGTGCTGGAGACAGTGCAAAAGAGATGTATTAGAATAATACCAGGAATAAGGGGTTTTAGGTTCTAGACAAGATTAGCTACAAGATTAAAGAAATTGGGCAGCTGCCATGCTGGAGTTTGAGAGAAGCACTGGAAACCTGGATGACCATGCCTGTGGCAAAAAGTACAATTTGGGCTCAGGTCTGATGATCTGGAATCTGAGTTCCAGTAATCGCCAGGCATCAGGAAAGGGGAAGAGTTACCTGGATACCTTAGCATAGGTTTTCACTGATACACAATGTCTGGGGAGCCATTCAAAAACTTTGAGCATATCCCAATTCTGGGATTCTCGAGCAGATTTTTAGGAGCAACTATTAATGGTCCAAGCTGGTTTGAACAAACCCATACCTGACAGTTGTCTTGGCCAACACTATTATGGGGATTGACATGTCTCGTCCTTGGTCGTTTTCATGTGTTTGGGCCACCTTTGGTTCATAGCTCACTGCACCTCAAAAGGTGTCGTGAGCCATCATCTGCACGAGGGAACCTTTGGAAAGGCAAGTTCAAAAGGTTCTGCGCTCAGGTTACCGTAATGGCAAGCTACTACACTTCCATGTCCATCCACCCATTAGACACGATATAGAAACAATGAACCCTATTCCTGAAGTGTGAACAGCAAGCTTTAAAAACTATTCATTCATTAATTTCCACATTCTTTTAAAAAAAAAACTTTTTTTCACTATAAAGGGAATAAAAGTGTCAATTATCCAGAACGTTTAAAATATCAACCGCAGACATTTCAAGCACTTGAAACCGCAACCTAAAGTAAATAAATAGTGAAACTGACAGCAAAGATCAGACAGCCAGAAATGTCAGTTAAGCTCAGATGTTTTAACAAAGTAATGAATATCTTCATTATGTGTTCCTTTGGGCTAAAGTATACTGCAGGGCTCAGCATTGCATTCTTTCAATGAAAAAGTTAAGTATTATTGAAGATTTTTATTGACAATACAATATTTAGTCAGTTACATACACAATAACTGATCAAATAATTCACATCGTGACACTAGTTCTCAATGTAGGATGGTTGTTGCAGTCCAATAAAAAAAAAAATCAGCCATAATGGAGTTCTATCCCAAATATCTCAGCTCTTGGTCCAGTAACAAGGTTGCATCTGATACCACTGCTAAGAAAAGCTGGTGATGGAAGAAGCAAAACAGATTTTAGAAGCTGCAGCCATTCGTGTGTCACTGTCACATTTATAAAGTTCATTTGTTGTGCATATTAACCAATGTCTATCATCCATAGTGCTGACCGTTTGAAGGCAATTGCTACTGCATAAACAGAATACTGAATGCCATTACTATACAACATATGGCAACATAGGGGCTTTTTCGTTCACCTGCAAAGAAAAAAGAAACATAAATAGGACAAAGTATTTAAATGATTTAAGAATATGATTATTTAAAAACACAAATGAGAACCATTAAACCTTGAACAAATTCAAATCATACAATCTTTAAAAGGACATTAAATATCATCTATTACATTTGATGTTCAACAACAATGACTAGTATTTGCAGCATACTTTTAAAATTGATCAAAAATCCAAGAAGTGCTTTAGAGGGCACTAAAACAAAAATTTGACACTGAGTCACATAAGGAGAGATGATCAAAAGTTTGACCTAAGAGGCAGGTTTTAAGAAACATCAGGTTTTAAGATGGAAAGAGACACAAAAATGTTTTGGGAGGGAATTCCAGAATTTGGCCCTTTGCAATTGAAGATATGGTCACCCATGTCAGAGTCAATCATTGTGGATGCTCAAGAGGTCAGAATTAGAACAGCATAAAAGGTTCTGAGATTTGAAGAAATTACAGTGAAAGGAAGAGGTGATACCATGGAAGATTTTAATACATTTCAAACCAAGTCATTATTGAACTTGGAGCACATTGTGGTCAGTAAATAAAGGCTTACAAGTGAACAGGGTTTGGTAACAGTAAGATTAGCAGAGCTTTGGATGACAATCTTCAAGTCGAGAACATGGGAAACTGCTACAGCTGGATACTGGCAGGTGAAAGGTGGAGTCTTAATCTTTATAAAAATATTCAAGAGAAACAAAAATTAGATTTAGTTTCAATGCTATATTTGCCAGCCTAAAGCAGGATTTACAAGGTCTTCACTGAAAGAACAGTTGAAGCTAAATAATAAAAGAAGACAGCTGAAACTGGGGTCAGCCAGCTCTTTTTCTTTAGAAGTATGGAAAGCCAGGCATCTCAGTGCAACACAGTGCAGATCATGGAGAGATGGGTGAAGGAGGAAAGGTGGTGCTCCCTTGCTTGAGAGTTTATTTGAACATTTTCATCCTCTGAGAATTGGAAACTTACTCCACGACAGGGGCAAAAGTCAGTAGTTTGATGAGTTTCCACAAAGTGGTTAAGGTCTATTCTTAAGGTTTAAAACAGCATAAGTAACAATGAGAAGGCTCATTGAAAAAATAAGGAAAACAATTAGTCAATTAAAAAGACATTAAGGGTGGAAGGCAAACATATGTGCACTCAGCATTTAAACAGAGTAGCTGTAGCTCAGGCCAAACTACAGGCTCTGCAATTCATCAGTCGGGGGAGAGGTTACATGGATGCTTTGCAACAAGGGGCAGCCACAGCCTTTAGGACAAGATCTGCTGATTTGGTCAGTGGTCAGGGATTAGAGAGTGTGACTGCAAGCGAGGCAGGTAAGGCAATCTCAGGGGCAGAAGTGCAGATGCCTCAGCCTTTGCATTTATTTAACAGGTATGAGCTTCTTTCAGCTTGTTTGAATGAAAGTATGGCTACAGGGTCAATGAACTAACTGACCACAGCACAATACTATTAAACGTAGCCTCAAACTTAAAAAGCATATTATTGCACCAAGATGGTGGCAGATCAGAAAAAAAGATTGACTGAAAGATTAATAAAAATGAAAGCAGTATGAGAGAAAGCTAGCTAAAAATATATAAATAACAAACAGGGAGTGATTCTATAGATATTCAAAAAGGAAAAGAGCCAATAGATTGATAGCCAATAGTTGGTTCTCTAGAAAGTCATTTTGGGCAACTGGTAATGGAAAAAGTGATGACAGATAAATTAATTGGGTATTTAGGATTGGTCTGCACTTCAGAGGATATAAGTAACATCCCAGAAATAGCTGTAAATCAGGAAATGGAAGGAAGAGGGAAATTGAAGAAATTAAAATCACTAGGAAAGTGGTATAGAGCAAGTCATTTGAAGATGTACACTGACAAATCCCCAAGTCCCAAGGGACTTAAGAGGTGGCTAAGATACCAGATGTTTTGGTTCTAATTTTCTAAAATTCCCTAGATTCCATTAGATAATAAGGAAGTGAATGTAACTCTTTCATTCAAAGAGAGAAGGAAGCACAAAGCCAGTAACTATAGGCCAGTTAGCTGCTATAGGGAAAATGTTAGAAGCTATTAAAGAAATTATAGCAGGGTACACAGAAACGTCAAGGTAACCAGGCAGAGTTTGATGACAATGGTTTTATGAAAAGGGAAATGTTTAGCCAATTAATTGTAGTTCTTTGAAGTAATAGATGCAACAGGTAAAAGGGGGACTGGTTGCTATACTATACTTAGTTTGAGGACACTTTGATAAATGTGCCACATAAAATGTTATGGTGGAAAAGAAAGGCTTATGGTATAAAGTGTTGAGATCCTAGCTGATATTACTGGACAAATCAACTGCTAAATTGAAATCTCTGCCTTGATGGATAATATTTTATTTTGGTTTTAAAGACATGGTCTCCCACTAGTGTACAATGTTGAAGATTTATTTTTATTAATAAGGCAAGTTTACCAAGTTAAAATGAAGATAAAACAGCATAAACCGAACAACATACCGTAACATTGTCAACAAGTAACAAATACTCCTTTTCAGATCTCAAATACCCATTGTACAGCATTCAGAGAAGAATCCCTTTATCTAATACCGTGGGTTTAATTTAACTAGGACTTCAAATCCCAAACTATAAAATCTTACATAACACAGTGTGGAGCTGGAGGAACACAGCAGGCCAGGCAGCATCGGAGGTGCAGGAAAGCTGACGTTTTGGGTTGGAACCCTCCTTCAGAAAAAGAAGGGTCCCGACCCAAAACGTCAGCTTTCCTGCTCCTCTGAGACTGCCTGGCCTGCTGTGTTCCTCCAGCTCCACAGTGTTATCTCAGACTCCAGCATCGGCATTTCTTACTATCTCTATAAAATCTTACAGCCTCTTTCTGGATCTTGCATACACACAAGTTAAAAAATTCTCAGCTTCTAAAATCCCCTCAGAGCTACCAGAATGTTATCAGTTGTTGAGAGGAATGGAGTACAAAAGTTATGCTTGAGTTACACAGGGCACTGGTGAGGCCATATTTGAAGTAGTGTATTGTATAGTGGTCTTCTTTAAATGAAGATGTAAATGAGGTGGAAGCAGTTCAGAGGATATTTACCAGACTAATACCTGGAATGGTCTGGTCATCTTATGAAGAAAGATTGGACAAGCTAGGGCTGTATCTGCTGGAGTTCAGAAAAATGAGAAATGACTTGATTCAAACAATCTACGGAATAGAAAAAGGCCCGTCAGCCTATTGCATCCGTGGTGGTCAAAAACTACCACCTAACTTTTCAAATCTCATTTTACAGCACTTGGCCCATAGCCTTGTATGCCTTGCTATTGCACCTCCTCTGGCAGCGATTCTACTGTGTAAAAACTTTTCCCCCTCTCTTACCTTGAACTTATGTCCTTTTTGATATATTGATATTTGACATTTCTGCCATGGGAAAAAGATTTCCACTATTCATTCTATTCATGCCTCGCATAATTTTGTAAATTTTTATATCAGGTCACCCCTCAGCCTTCAATGTTCAAGTGATAACAAACAGAGTTTGTCCAATCGCTCCTCACAACTAATACTCTAAACCAGGCAACATTCTGTAAGCCTTTCAGCACCTTCTCCAAAGCCTCCACATCCTCTGGTAATGTAACAGCCAGAACTGTATGCAACTCTGCATGAAATTTCTACTCACCTGGTACTGAATCTGCGAGCATTGCCTGATCTTTTTCTAAAAATACATGCAAGCAACTGAACTCCACCCCCTCACCTGCACTCACCAAATCACCTGTGGTATAAGCACTGCCCGAATATATGCGTAAACTGACCGTTTTCAAGTGATATTAATGAGTGACAGGACATGGATAAGAAATAGGAACTGGGCAATGATAGATCTTTGCGGGACGGCAGAGCAAAAGGTGTCCGAGTAGGAAAATAGGTCATTCCGAGTGATTCTCTAGGTATGACTGGATGGTTGAGAGTCAAACCAGGTGAGGGCAATCCTCCACAATTTGACCAATAATGGATATCTAATAGTGGATAATGGGCTCGGTTCAACCAAAGCTGGCAGTAAGGTCAAGATGGGTGAGGAGGGAAAATTTACTTCTGCCCAATCACTTAAGAGGTTATTTGTGACATTGACTGGTACTTTTCAGTACTGTGGCTGGATGGAAACAAATATGGCATACCGGAAAAGATGGGTACATACTATGGTTCAAGTTTTCTGAAGAAAAGGGTGGAGATAGCATGTCAGTTCACGAAGTAAAAGGGATTAGGTTTTATTTCAATGACATGGATGACCAAGACAAAGAAGCATTAGTCTATCAGTTTAAAGAAAGCTTAATTGGCCTCAGTTGCAAGCAAGTAGAGATTTTGGTGGGCCCAAAGATAATAATTTTTGTCTTTCTGACACCAAGCTGGGAGAAGATATGACACATTCAAGACTGGGTGAAAGAAGAGCAGTCTTAAAACATTAAGTGAACTGAATGTTCCACAAGTGAAGTTGACACGATTCCTGCACTTAAATGTCCCCAGGGAACCATAAATATTTAAGAAAAAGGAACACAGGATGCATCCAGAGAGTCCTCAAATGTGACGGTGCAGCAGAGGTCAGAGAAACCTTTTTACTATCAAAATATAGCCAACACAGACGAAAGAGGGAAAATTCATGCGAGGGATGGAGAAATACAGATTTTAATTTTATTTTGCCTTTTCTTTCCTAATGCTGATGATTTCTCTATTATCTGGGTAGATCTCAACATGTTTTAGCTGAAGACAAGGATCCAGCTGTGGCTGTGAATGCAGAGATTCTTAACTGGCCAAGTATCAGTTTTTGTTAAACCAATCCATATCAAATCCACAGGAGTCACATTATAAATAACTATTTCACCATTCAGTCAAATATTGCAACAACACATCTGGTAATGACATTAAATAAGGAATAAGATACACCACACAGACTTTGTTTATTGAAAAATAAATCAGTTAGCTAATATATAATTCATCTTCAAAAGGATTAAACTCAGTTCAGTCC